CGCCTCAGGGTTGGCGGATGTCAGGGCTTCCCGCCTCAGAGTTGCGCAGTGTCAGGGTTTAGAGCCTCAGAGTTTCGCGGGTCAGAGTTTCAGCGTGTCAGGGTTTCGCGCCTCAGGGTTGGCGAATGGCAGGGCTCCCCGCCTCCGAGTTGCGCAGTGTCAGGGCTTACAGCCTCAGAGTTTCGCGGGTCGGAGTTTCGGCATGTCAGGGCTTCGCGCCTCAGGGTTCGCCTCAGAGTTGCGCAATGTCAGGGCTTACACTCCCAGATCTGCGCGGGTCAGAGTTTCGGCGCGTCAGGGTTTTGCGCCTCAGGGTTGGCGGATGTCAGGGTTTCCCGCCTCAGAGTTGCGCAGTGTCAGAGTTTAGAGCCTCAGAGGTTCGCGGGTCAGAGTTTCGGCGTGTCAGGGTTTCGCGCCTCAGGGTTGGCGGATGCCAGGGCTTCCCGCCTCAGAGTTGCGCCGTGTCAGGGTTTAGAGCCTCAGAGTTTCGCGGGCCAGAGTTTCAGCGTGTCAGGGTTTCGCGCCTCAAGGTTGGCCGATGTCACGGCTTGCCTCCCCAGAGTTCCGCCAGTCAGGGTTTTTCCGCTCAGGGTTGGGCGATCGATGGCAGGGTTTGGGCGATGGCAGGGTTTCAGCGTGCGCCACTGCCCCTAGCAGCTCACTCTCCCTCATTCGCCTTTCTCCTCTCTCGGACCGCTGAACACACGGGAAACGACTAGTTCTTGTCGATACGAATTGGTGTTTGGAGGAGAAGTATTAGGAATTTGTAGAAATTCCGATGCTGGGTATTGGCCAGTCAAGGTCTTCACAAGTAGGTACGCAGATTTTTTTCCGACTTCTTGAGCAAACTTGTTCTGGAAATACACTAAAAGTTCTTCACCTTCTTCTTCTAGAAACTGACTTCTCCTTTGTCTCTACTAGAATTCGGCGAATGCTGCGAAACAGTCTTCAAGCCTATCCAGGAACTTAAGCAGCTTTCTTTTGAAGATTGAAAATCAGAACAGAAGTCCTAAATTGGGATCCAATTTTCCGAAAAACGACACGACTTTCACATGCTCGAGAAACCTCAAAACGTGTATAAATTGAATATCGAGCAGCAGTACACGAAGATGTCTCTCTATCTACCGAGATCTCGTTCTCTTCGCTAAAGGCGCGAACAGACACACGACCCACTCACCTCTCCAAGACAGAACTTTGCGCCAGAATAACTGCCTCTCGTCACTCGTTGTCTGTACTGCGAAGTTACTCATCTATCATTGGATTTGGTGTACAATCGATATGCGACTTCTACATCGCCCTCGTACTATACGAACACAAGCTCTCTATGGGGAAAAGATGTCACGGCAATCTTCTGCAACGAAGCTGCGCTCACGAGACCGTAGTAGGATACTTAATTATCATCATCGTGTTGATCTTCCTCAGCTCCGATCACAACTGAGCCAAAGCACATAACAGCCGTCTGCTCCGAATGCACAATTGAAACGCTGAGAAGATTTCTTCTATGATTTCTATTTCCAATTGCTTTCCAGTGATGAACTGCGTGAAAGAGCGTGAGCTGTACAGCACCTCTGCTTGACGCACGATGCAGTTTCTATCAAAATAAGTAGAGCCACAATGTGTCGCTCACGATTACCGCCGCTCAATGTAGTGCTTAATTAACCATCATTCAATAATATTTGCGGTCCAGACTGCTTGTTTGAATTTCCGTTTTTTGTTCAATGATGAATGTTGTTCCCATATTAATACTCGCCATAATGAAAATTGATGCAATCTTGATCGCTTAAAAGTGATTCCATATTCGATTTAAATGCTGCAGGAAATATGTGAAAGTTTCCAAATAACAATAAGATCTGGTATCACTGTTCTACGCAGAACCTAATTTCGGATTTTGCGCAATAAAAAAGTGTAATCTACTTAACAATGTTCCATGATGTGAGCTTCAATCTTCCACAAGAATAAAACAGCATTAATAGCTGAGTTCTTGTCTCCGGCTGTTTCAGGCAGACACCCAAATCGAATACCTGAGCTTCGCCTCCCAAGCACGCTTTTGCTTCGACTTTTCCCGACCATCAAATCAAATCCTGCACGCCGCATTAGAGTGGTCTTCCACTTTCTTACCTGTACCAAGAATCTGATTAGACCAAAGACAAAAACTGTATGTATACCATCAGATGGCAATCGATTAAAGAAGGAGTAAAGAAAGGCAACTCGAGAACCTTTAGTGCTGTACCATAGCGACGTAGAATACAATAATTGAACAGGACGCTACACGCTACAATCAAGACACACAAAAAACCATAATCAGCTTCTTCACGCTGCCTCCTCGGCTTTCTCCGGTGGATGTCTTAGAGTGCGCTGTAGCTGTTATCACGAAGTGCAAGCTGTGATCAACAGAAGAAAGATATTAGTACTCGTGCTAAGCTACAAATCATAAATAGAGGAACGCCCAGAAAGTCTTCGAACTTGGTCAAGAGTACGCTGTAGCTTTTCTCTTCATCTGTAGTCGTCTAGAGGTAATACTCGTGTTCGTCCTGAAAAACAAATGTACTATTAAGCATCATGAAAACAGATCGTAAATAGAGCATGTCCTTCACGGCGCCCAGGAAGTCTTCGAACTTGGTCAAGGGTTCCCCCTTGTACTCCGCCAACGCCTTGTCACGAATCGCAATTGCTTCCTCTACTGTTTAGAGAAATGAAGATCTTTTGCATAAATTGCAGAATCCTATACACAGGTGGAGGAGGATTTCATTACACTAAAACTTGGCGATGTCTTGCTAGATAGAGTTGTACGACTGTAATCAGGTACACCAGCTACGTCAGCACTACTTCAATTTCAACCTACGCCGGATATTACAGCAGGCAAACGTGCTACTCCGAAACCTGATGAAAAATTACTCTACTGAATTCGTAAGATTTGTAGATGAACTGGAACGTGTGTCCAAAAAGTAGAGAAATTAAGATCTTTTACAGGAACACAGGATCACTTCTATAGGAGGAGATCGAAGTCATCATTTACGAAAAACTTGAAGTGCCAGGATAAACATGTCACTTGTTCGGTGTCCTGTGATATCAGTACCACTAGTAAAATTCATATTGAAGAATCCCATTTTTGAGGAGAATGCTTTATTTACAGTGAAACTTGACTAGAACGTGCCACATAAGTTTGGTAGAACTGGAACATGTGTCCAAAATCCGTGCAGACGATTTCCGGCATGCCCATTGAAATCCCGGTCTGGATCCAACCCTGCACTGGAACATCCACGAAAGTCACCTGGGTGATTAGTAAGTCGTAGGCAGTGAAGATATCTGCATTTAGGAACAAGAACAACAGGAGAGTGACAGGGAGGATTAAGAACAGAAGAGTGACAGGGAGGATTAAGAACAGGAGAGTGACATGGAGGATTAAGAACAGGAGGGTGACAGGATGAAGGGTCACAGGGAAGACTCTGCGCGTCTGTGTAGGGCATCATCAAAAGGAGGTTGTAGACAGGAGGTTGTAGAGCATCATCAAACACTACTAGTACGTGTCAACACTAATTTTTTAGTACATAATGGGACTCAAGCCAATCTCGTAGGCCGTAGAATTCAAGAAACTATTCTTCGATAAAAAACGAAAGGACTACTTTTCTGTAAAACATCAAGACCGATGTCGCACCAAAAAAAACCCTCTCACCTCTTCTCCAATGATCTTGGTAAAGGCTGCGGCCAATTCTTCGCCACTGCACTTGTTCCCAATGCACCCAGTGACGGGCCAGGAAGGCTCGCCGGACCACGTAGCTTCACCAAATTTGGGTTACATTAGGGAATACAGAAGAACAGCATATTAGTCGAACAGGATAAGAGAACAGGCCAACGCCTAAACCACTAAGGAAACTGCGCAGTTGGCTTAGTAGAAGTGGATTACAAAAACACCAGAAACCATGACAAATTACTCGAAAAACTGAAATAAGCGAGTAACGACTGAAAAGAACTGACGAGATACTGACGCGAAGGACGAGTAGCCCTGTCAACGCTGCCTCCCTTACTTCAGTCAGTAACTCGGTTATTTTCAGTTTTCGAGTACACGCTAATACTCCATATTAACAAGGAATAGTTACACATTACGCGCTAATGCCCAAGAAGTGATTCCAATATCACAGAAGTGATCATGAGAGAGAGTTTTAGTTGAAGTTCTAGAGTAGAATGAGAGTTTCAGAGAGTTCATCTGGTTCTTCAAATGAGGCGCACCTACTTAGACTCTTAGGTCTCTTTGTTGAGAAGGGTCAGTCAGAAAAGTATACCCTAATTTGGAAAAACTTACCTGCACCGACTACCACCTAGTGTCTACTGTCATCGTTGGATAGTGTAGTTACTTATTATTTATAGGTCGTTACTTAAAAGAACTGCTTCTACCTGCAGTGTTACTAGAAAACCCTGACGACGTGTTCCATGCTTAAATAGAAGTTCTACAGACGATAACGAAATTGCAGTCGTGCCATAACAAACCGCGCTTGAACAAAGGAGCAACAACTTTTCCGACGTCCTCATGGTGGACTTGGAAATGGGGTTTTCCACCCAGAGGAAAGTACAAGGCATATTTGCCGTCTTCACCTTTCGTCGGCTTCATACCTAGAGATCATGTAGGACAGCATAGCAGATCGTCAAAATGCTGCGTTCTCACGCAAGGGAGGAAAAGGAACCGCATATACATTGGATGAAGGGACTAGCCTCCGAGGAGGGAAGCGAATTTTCAGATTTCAGAAACGGAGAACTGAGGTAAAGACGATCTATTAAGAGAGGAGGAACTGTAAAGTAGACCATCCATTTTCATTAGAGACAAGGAAATAGAAATCAGTATCAGGAGTAAAAAATCGTCAACTTCTAATGCGAGGACATGATCGATCGTAAAATACTCTTAAACTAGCACGTTTTTAAAACCCAGCATCATCATCATGGAGTCTACCACTGGTTAGCGTGCCAGCTCCTAGACTATACGATGCTTCGCACCCTCAGAAGAGAAGATGACAAGCGCAACGCTGGAAAATCTACCAATGAATATAAGTGAGCCAACAACTTTAAGAGTTATTGGGCTTATAATCGGGGTTATGGAACCCAGCACGGTTATGAAACCTAGCAATCGTAAAATACCATTACACTACCACAACAAAAACCAGTTTGCGTAGTATTGAGGTACCAAACCAGTTTCCGTAGTAGAATCCGACCATGACGTGGTCAACGGCAACATCCTGTTGTTGGTTCAGAAGTTCCGACACTTCTCCCTTTGCATCAAAATGCGGAACCAGGTACCCATTTGCATCTGCCTTTTGTTAGAAAGAAAAAATAGTGATCTATAGGTTACCACATTTTGTCAGAACCATGAGAACTAGACAAACGAATAGCTTTTAGATTTCGGTTCAGAACTCCCTCTGCCAGGTTAGGTGCTGCACAACTCTAAGATGATGTTTTTTAAGACTATAAGAGATCATAGTCACGCGAGTAGCGAGTTAGACTCCTAGTCCTATGCCTTCGTGTCGAGCACCAACTACAAAGAACTTGGTCATACGCGAGAGAGGAGATAGATCTAGCACCAGATTGTACAGCAATGAATGACCAAGACGTACTAGGTTAATACAGTGCTCACTTTCGTCTGTCATCATCAGTCTACCAAATCATGAGAAGTGTCAGCGTGGGATCTACCTCAAAAAAGGAAAGTAACAAGGTGAAGTCATAAGATCAAGCTCAATTTCACGTTGAAGCTCAAGGTGAAGTCATGAAATCTTTCCTCTAGAAATCAAAGCAAAACCCGTGTGAATCATAATTCAGAGCACCGTCTTGATTGAAGCTTTTGCACTTTGTTGTGTTTTCCAAAGTCGAAAAAACCAAATGCTTGACTCCCATCTTCTTGCACGCCTCCAGGCAGTTGAGTCCGCATTTTTTCTCAGACAATGAAAGATGTGATGGTATAAACGATCTCGAGTTGAATAAACGGTCTTCACCTCTTGTTGGATGATATAGACGATCTCCACCTACTCTTGTTAGGATTAGGGTTTAGGGTTTAGACAGCAGGAGTTCTTGGATAAACTCATAAAAACGCGGGATCCAGAGCACTGGTAGCGCCGCTCCCGCCATCCACCTCGGCCGGCCAAAAAGCGGTTACCAAAAAGCAGCCATACGCATCTAGTGGTAGTTGTGATAGGAGGAAGTTGGTACTCAAGTAGCTAATCGTGAGCTACAATGAGTGTAGTTCGTTGATGTTTCCTAATCGTGAGCTCCAGCGAGAAATAAATCACTACTAGAGGCTATCAGTTAAGTAGATATCAGTGGTATCTTGCCTAATTGTAAGACTTAAGAGAGTTATACCTTCCAGGGCTTTTTCGAGCGTTTCCGGATTTTCCAATTGCGCCTGTACGACCGAGAGAATTTTAGCGCTTTCTTTGCAATCTGTTTGTCAAGCAAACTAATTACTTCATATGACAACATCGATATCGAAAGTGTTGATCATCAAACACTGACTGAGTACAGTTAGTTAGTTAGTTATGATAGAGACACTGAGCACATACAATGTCATGTATGACTCAGCGCGGCCTATCTATGAAAGAAAAAGAATGTCTATCAAACGGAACTGATTACACTGATTGGACACCAGTTTACATCACGCTAAATAATCAAGAGCAACGCATGTTTTGAATGGAGGCGAATCAGCAACAGACATATACGAAGCTCTCCTCTATTCTCATGACTAGAGAGAAAATTAGCTGCACTAGAAGATGAAGTCTTCTTGTGAATTCTTATCACCGCTTACATCCCTGCTAAATATTGTTTGGAGCGAGAGATGTGGGACATGAGGGAAAAACTAATGCTGGCAGTAGTAGTAGTGTACTCACCCAGTCATAGGGTATAGAAGAAATTAATTAGGAGTTATTCCCCTTCTTTCGTCGAGAAAAGGATTGGAGTGAACATAACATTGGGCTTGCCTTCACAGGCCTTCTTGGCCTTGTCCGTGTCCACATCCCCACGCGTTACTAGACGGAGAGTCACGTCCGGCATCGCCTTGAGCAATTGCGTCGCAACGCTCTCGCCCTGGCGGCCTAGGCCACCAAAGATTAGATGTGGTCACGATACTCACGTAGACCTTACTAGACAAAAAAGAGTGGACGTCTCGAGAACAACAGATGGGATTTTGTCACTTCTGTAGCATCGGTCAGGATTGGTCTCAGGATAATCCCAGAAGAAATCCTAGAGAGATCATGAATACCCTGACGTGGAGATTTACTACAATCTTGATAGGATAGGATACGAAAGGATGCTTCTACTTCGCTGTATCTTGAGCCTGAAAAAGATGCCAAGATAGGACGCTTCTACTTTGCTGTATCTTGAGCCTTAAAAAAATGACATACGTTTTGGCGGATCCACTCTCCACCGCGGACGCAGCGGCGGCAGGTGCAGCGGTCGGCGCGTCTCCGCAGTTCTCGTCGGAGGCCTTCCCCCGCTTCGGAGCGCCTGCGCAACAAGCCATGACTTTTCTTCTATACACAAGCCGTACAGCCAAGCTGTATTTTTGGGTATCTATACTTATAATAAGTTGTAGCCCCGATGTAAGTGTTTATCTTTTGCTATCTTTGCTGAGCTGTTGATTGATCGGAAGATGTTCTCGGTTCAACGACCAGGAGTGACCGGTGACACTCGCCAAGACAAGTAGTACCTTCGGCTATTTCGATTTTTTTGCTTCGTTTTTCAATTTTTCACCCTTCCAACAAGCAATGACGACTCGCCTAATTTGAACTCTTTTTGGAATTTTCCCACGGCTCGACCATCAAGAGGTGCCACAACTACTTGCTCTCACCTTATCATACTAACGCTTACAGCTCCTCACCGTGCGAGCAAGAATGCAAGTCAGTAGTGGGTCTTGCAAATCAGGGATGAGGCTGTGTTTGCAACTGGGAAGTTTTTTTTTCGGTGATTCGTGAGGGAACGACCAAGAGATATTTTTCGAGAGGAGGCGCGACACGCATGACGATCATGAAAGTGAGCCGATCGATGCTCCGCATTCTGCTCCCGGTTCTGTCAGATAGGAGTGAGTTGGCGTGTTGGTTTTATCGTCGTGCCCCGTTCCGACGGTGGTCCTTCTGATGGGTCGGATGATCATAACAGCAGGCGGGATTCGTATGCTTATGCGAAAAAGAATCCCCTCAAGACGATGGCGCGCGGCGCTTATGGATGCCCATTGATATGGGTACCACCATAAGGATACGAACGAAGTCGAGCTGCGTTCCATTTCGGTTGTGGGCGTCACTGGGTAACACCACCACCACAACAACAGGGACAAGCCTGCCAGGGGACGAATGCCTGGAAGGCTTCGGCCCTTTACAGGGGGCGCTAGATAAAGGCGGGGGGGTCACCCCGTGGAACCCTGCGAGCGCCGTATCCACCTGAGGGGCGTGACGCGTGACGGAGTACGGGCGTGACGCGTGACGGCGTGACGCGCTGGGGAGCGCGACGCGCGTGGGAGTATAAGCGAGGCGCGTGAAGGTATGACGCGAGTGCATGGTCTAGAGTGGTCCAACTTACGCGGGGGCGCTGGCTAAAGAGTTTGGCGGTAGGTCGTCGACTTGGTGCCCCGCTTGCTCCTCATTCGATGACCCCGGCGGCGCTGGGTGGCTAGCAAGTTGGAGACTGAGCGAGCGAGAGACCGCCGCGCGCGTCACGCCAAGCCCCTCCGGTATGCTGAACCATGCCGACCCCTGAGCGCCTCGCCACACCTTTACAAGGAGCACCCCCCCCCGGCTCCCGCGGTATCTTGAGAAATTTCCGCCAAACATTTGGAAAGGCTTTTCTTGTGAATCACTACAGCCGACCAGCGTCGCGCCCGCGCTGCCTAGTGGCCTACACAGTGGCCCACGGACTGCGGGCGGCTCGACTTAGTACGGCGGCCCAAGTGAGATGGCCGGCCCGCTTTCGATTCTTGACCCGGGCCCCCTCAAAATAGCTGACAAATGCCCAGAGTGCACAGCCGATCTGAGCCCACTCGAGATAGGTGAGCAACGCCCCGCGTGGCAGGATCGCTAGCGCAAGCCGCTCCACACCCCAGCAAGAGAGCTGACCCCCGACATCGCTGGGGCCGTTGCGTCGAAGACCGCAAGCCGCCCTGGCGCGGTGCGTGGCTCTCTAGTTGTTCGCCGAAAAAAGCAAAGGGGCCGCGGCCTTTGTCTCAGATCATAAGGCAGCGCACGGATTTGCCTCAGGCCATAAGGCTGCCCGCGGATTTGTCTCAGGTCGGGGCCATAGGGTCGCCAGCTGGTTTTGTAAGATCATAAGAGCGCCCCCGGCTTTGTCTCAGGCGCAGGCCATAAGGCCGCCCGCGGACTTGTCACAGATCATAAGGCCGGCCTCCAAATTGCCTCCGGTCTTAAGGCCGACGGACCCCCGATTTGTCTCAGATCGCGAGGCCGTCCCTCTGTGGATTTGTCTCAGATCGTGAGGCCGTCTACGGACTCGCCCCAGATCGTAAGGCCGTCCCGGGATTTGTCTCGGACCATCTCACACAGGAGGCCGCCCGCGGATTTGTCTCAGATCGTAAAGCCGTCCACCGATTTGCCTCAGATCATAGGGCCACCCTCAGACTTGTCTCAGGCCATAAGGTCGCCCGGAGGTTTTCCCCAAACCAAAAGGCTGGCCATGGATTTGCCTCAGATCAAAAGGCCGCCCACGGACTAGATTGGTCTCAGATCATAAGGCCGCCCCCGGATTTACCTCAGAAGAGAGGGGCGCATACGGATTTCCCTCAGATCATAAGGCCGCCCTGGGCAGCTCCGTCGCGCTCATCAACTATACTTATAGAGCGCCACGCCTAAGCGTGACGCGCCGCGCATTAATAGCGGGGGAAGAGGAAAGGGTGTCTGGGCCTGCGGTCGATACGGCGCTCCCCAGGTCTTACGGGGTCACCCCAGCAAGTACTCACCCCCTTTGCAAAATCCGAAGCGACGGCGTTGTCTGAGAGCCCCGCCGCCGTAGCGACGCTGCCGAAGTTCCCCGCAAAGGCCCCCGGCTTCGGCGCGTGGGTTCGCCGAAGTCGTCGACTTATTGCGGACCGGCTGCCACGTTTTGGGGCACGGGGCCAGCGGGCGGGCACTCGTAGCTCCTTGCCTTCAAAGCCATGGCTGTTCGGGAGTCCTTCCGAGAAACTCTTCAGGAGACGGGGCTGCGGAGGGCAGGCCAGAGCCTCGGCGCGCGGGTTCGCCGAAGTTGTCTACTTGTCGCGGCCGGGTGCCGCGTTTTACGGCATGGGGCCAGCGGCTTGGCCCTCCTGGCGGGGTTCGCTGGCGCCGCCCTCTATAGAGGCCTGCGGCCACAAAGGCCGCGCGCTCTCTATTGGGAGCGGAAAGAGCCCCGACCGGGTTCCGCGCTGTCCCTATTTTTCTCGGCTTTTTCCGTGTGAAGTCGCAAAAAGTCGCGGCCTTGCTGGTCGTTGCGCCAGCGCCACACCTAAAGGGCGGCAGAGGGCCACGCGCGGCATGCTGAGGCATGGGAAGCCGCCGCGAGCCGCGGGAGCGCGGCGAGCTGCAAAGCCGCGCCTCTTTGTGCGTTGAGAGTGGAGCGGCTGCGAATGGCCCAGGTTTTCGGGGAGAGAGGAAGCGGAAGGCGGTCCGCGTGCGTCGTCGACTCCTCGCGGACCGGCTGCCAGGTTTGGAGCAGAAGGCCCGCAAACGGGCCAGACGGTCAGGGCCCTGCGGCCCCTCCCCTAAGGAGCGCGCTCTCTCGCATGTTTACAGCGCAGGGGCCGGCAAATGTCCCAGGTCTTTGGGGAGAGAACAAGCGGAAGGCGGTCCCAGCGTGTGTCTTCGACTCATCGCGGACCGGCTGCCAGGTTTGGAGCACGAGGCCCGAAGCCGGGCCCGATGGCCCGGGCGCGTGGCCCTTCCGGCCCGGGCGCGTGGACCTTCCGGCCCGGGCGCGTGGACCTTCCGGCCCGGGCGCGTGGCACTTCCCTCCAGGGCCGCGCGCTCTTGCACGTTTGCAGCGCAGAGTCCGCAGGCGCGTTGGGTTTTCGGGGAGAAAGCAGGCAGAAGGCGGCCCGCGTGTGCCGTCGACTTATCGCGGACCGGCTGCCGGGTTTGGAGCACGGGGCCCGCAACCGGACCAGGCGGCCCAGGAGCGAGCGTGGCCCCCCTCCAGCGCCGCGCTTTTTTGCACGTTTCTAGCGCAGAAGTGTGCAAGTGTCCGGGGCTGCAGGGGAGAAAGCAAGCAGAAGGCAGCCCGCGTGCGTCGTCGACTCATCGCGGACCGGCTGCCAGGCTTGCAGCACGAGGGCCGCAACCGGGCCAGACAGTCCGAACGCGTGGCCCCTTCCTCCACAGCCGCGCCTTTTTGCACGTTTACAGCGCAGGGGATGTCGCGGGTTTTTGGGAAGGGAGCAAGCGGAAAACGGCCCGCGGGAGTCATCGGCGGAAGGGTCGGGTGTCTCGTGCGGTTTTCGGGATGGAATCGCGGGCGCCGAAAAAACCTGCGAAAACCTGTAAGGTTGGTGGCACTTTTTCGGCCCTGCCCTTCTCAGCCCTAGAGGCCCAACCGGTAGCCGGCGCGAAGGTTCCGCCGCCGTCGTCGACACATCGCCGGCCCGGCTGCCAAGCTGCTGGACCATGGAGCCAGCGGGCGCGCAGGCCTGGCCCCTTGCTCCGAAGGCCGCGGCCTTCCCCGGGTTCAGCCGGGAAACTTTTCGGAGGCCGGGAGCCTTCGGCCACTCGGCAACCGGCGCGAGGGTTTCGCCGCCGTCGTCGACTTATCGCGGCCCGGCGACCAGGTTGCTAGACCATGGAGTCCGCGGCCGCGCCGGTATGCCCTCCTACTCCAAAAGCCACGCGCTTCTGCGAGTTCAGCTAGGAGACCCTTTAAGGGTCGGGGCCTTTCGGTCGCGGTAAGGAAGGGAGCGGAGCGCAGTGGGCTGCGCCGTGGGTTCCCCCGCAGTTTTTTTGGCAGCGCGCTGGAGATGAAAAGCCGCGGAACCTAGTGCGGGCCTGCATCCCAGCACGATCAGACCCCGCCAAAAGGACGCACTCCCGACGGGGTTTCCGGTGGGGCGCTATAGAGGGCGGCGCCAACCGTCAGGGGCCCGCGGCTGCGGAGACGCGGCCGCCCGCTCTAAGCGCCGCGAATTCCCGCGAGTTCTGCCAGGGAGCTCCCCGAGGGTAAAGGACGGGGCCGCCCTCTATACAGTCCTGCGGGAAACCTATGCAGGGGAGGCGCTAGCCCTTTGGAAGTCTGAAGCGCACAAGGCTTAAAAATCCCAGGGACTCTTGGGCCGTTTGGTTTAGGTCGCCCCCTATAGCGTCCCCCGGGAAACTAATGGAGGAGGGCCGCCTCCCCCATTAGTTTCCACCGAAGTGTCGGCTTTCTCGCTTCTATCGGACACCTGCAGCGAGAAGCATGGGACTTTGGAAGCAGTTGGTGGCTGGTGCTATCAGATTTACAGAAGAGAAGGGGAACAGATGGCCCCAAGGGCGGCGGCCCTTCTCAGGGGTCTCAAGCGTTTCGGGCTTAGCCCAAACCTCTGCAAAGGTCCGGGCCTTGCGGTCCGGGCAAGAGGGGGCGCGATATTGGGGTAGCCGAGGGGAATCCTAAGTGGCTCCCGTAGCATCGTGCCGCAAGTAGGGGCCCC